ACAAATTAAATCTTCGGTGAGGCAGTGTGACACTGCTTCCTCCAAACTCAGCGCACTTCATCTTCCTCATTCCGCAAAAACCCATAGCCTTCCTTCACTCTGCAGGACTAGTGCAGCCAAGGGTTCAGCTCTACCTACTGGTGTGCTCTTCCGAGCAGGTTGCTTAGCCTCTCTGTAACACATGGACGGTAGCTCCTAGCATCCCCAAAGATCACTGTAGGAGACAATGACCAAGGCTACCAGAGCCGCAAGAAAAGTCAGTGAATGTTAGCGGGGTCTTCTCTGTCTCCCCAGTCCGGCTGCCACGTGGAATTGCTCTTCCTCCGCTACATCTCGGACTGGGACCTAGACCCTGGCAGGTGCTACCGCGTCACCTGGTTCACCTCCTGGAGCCCCTGCTACGACTGTGCCCGACATGTGGCCGACTTTCTGCGAGGGAACCCCAACCTCAGTCTGAGGATCTTCACCGCGCGCCTCTACTTCTGCGAGGACCGCAAGGCTGAGCCTGAGGGGCTGAGGCGGTTGCACCGCGCCGGGGTGCAAATAGCCATCATGACCTTCAAAGGTGCGAAAGGGCCTTCCGCGCAGGCGCAGTGCAGCAGCCCTCATTCGGGATTGCGATGCAGAACGAATGAGTCAGTGGGGAAGCACCAGGGGAAGAAGTGGGCGGGGATTCTGGGTCACCTTTGGAGCCGAAATTAAAGGTTACAAGTAGAGAAAAGAGTAAATGGCTCAGAGCCAAGGCCCTGAGGAAATGAGAAAATGGGGCCAGGTTGCTTTCTTTTCCCTCGATTTGGAACCTGAACTGTCTTCTACCACCACATCCCCGCCTTTTTTTCTTTTTTTCTTTCTTTTTTTTTTTTAAAGATTATTTTTACTGCTGGAATACTTTTGTAGAAAATCGTGAAAGAACTTTCAAAGCCTGGGAAGGGTTGCATGAAAATTCAGTTCGTCTCTCCAGACAGCTTCGGCGCATCCTTTTGGTAAGGGGCTTCCTTGCTTTTTAAATTTCTTTTCTTTCTCTGTAGTCTTTTTTGGAGCTTCGTATATTTCTTATATTTTCTTATCGTTTAATCACTCTCAGTTTTCATCTGATGAAAACTTTATTGCTTCTCCACATCAGCTTTTTCTTCTGCTCTTTCACCATTCAGAGCCCTCTGCTAAGGTTCCTTTTCCTTCCCTTTTCTTTCTTTTGTTGTTTCACATTTTTAAATTTCCGTCTATCCCCAGGGTTGTGTTTCCTTCCTGGTCAGAATTCTTTTCTCCTTTTTTTAAAGAAAAACAAAAACACAAAACAAAACAAAAAATCCCAAAAAACTCTTTCCCAATTTACTTTCTTCCAAAATGTTAGAAAGCCATCCATTGAGTTTAGAAGCCTCTCCGGCCCCACCAACCTCCAACTGAGTTTTGAAGCCATTCACTCAATTTGCCCCTCTCTTTCTCTACAGCCCCTGTATGAGGTTGATGACTTACGAGACGCATTTCGTACCTTGGGACTTTGATAGCAACTTCCAGGAATGTCACACACGATGAAATATTTCTGCTGAAGACAGTGGATAAAAAACAATCCTTCAAGTCTTCTCTGTTTTTCTTCTTCAACTCTCATTTTCTTAGAGTTTAGAGAAAAAATATTTATATACGACTCTTTAAAAAGATCTATGTCTTGAAAATAGAGAAGGAACACAGGCCTGACCAGGGACATGCTACAATTGGTGCAGTTTTGAATGCAACATTGTCCCCTACTGGGAATAACAGAACTGCAGGACCTGGGAGCATCCTAAAGTGTCAACGCTTTTCTATGACTTTTAGGCGGGATGAGAGCAGAAGGTAGATCCTAGAAAGCATGGTGAGAGGATCAAAAGTTTTTATATCAACATCCTTTATTATTTGACTCATTTGAGTTAACAGTGGTGTTAGTGATAGATTTTTCTATTCTTTTCCCTTGATGTTTACTTTCAAGTAACACAAACTCCTCCATCAGGCCATGATCTATAGAACCTCCTAATGAGAGTATCTGGGTGATTGTGATCCCAAACCATCTCTCCAAAGCATTCATATCCAATCATGTGCTGTATGTTTTAACCAGCAGAAGCATGTTTTTATGTTTGTATAAAAGAAGATTGTTATGGGTGGGGATGGAGGTATAGACCATGCATGGTCACCTTCAAGCTATTTTAATAAAGGATCTTAAAATGGGCAGGAGAACTGTGAACAAGACACCCTAATAATGGGTTGATGGCTGATGTAGCAAATCTTCTGGAAACACAAACTCTTTTAAGGAAGTCCCTAATTTAGAAATACCCACAAACTTCATATATCATTATTAGCAAACAATTGGAAGGAAGTCCCTTGAATGTTGGGAAGAGGAAAATCTATTGGCTCTCCTGGGTCTCTTAATCTCAGAAATGCCAATCAGGTCAAGGTTTGCTACTTTTTGTATGTGTGTGATGCTTCTCCCAAAGGTATATTAACTATATAAGAGAGTTGTGACAAAACAGAATGACAAAGCTGCGAACGATAAAACACACGCTTATAGTTCTAGCTGCTTGGAAGATTGAGGAGGGAGGATGACTTGAAGACAGGTGTTCAAGGCCAGCCTGGGCAACATAGCAAGACCCTGTCTCTTCAAAAAAGAAAAAAAAAAAAAGAGAGAGAGAGAGAGAGGGCCGGGCATGGTGGCTCATGCCTGTAATCCCAGCACTTTGGGAGGCCGAGCTGGGCAGATCACCTGTGGTCAGGAGTTTGAGACCAGCCTGGCCAACATGGCAAAACCCCGTCCCTACTAAAATTACAAAAATTAGCCAGGCATGGTAGCAGGTGCCTGTAATCCCAGCTACTTGGGAGGCTGAGGCAGGAGAATCGCTTGAACCCAGGAGGTGGAGGTCACAGTGAGCCGAGATCGTGCCATTGCACTCCAGCCTGGGTGTTAAGAGCAAGACTCTGTATTTGAAAAAAAGAAAGAAAGGGGAAAAAAAAAGAGAGAGAGAGAAAGAGAACAATATTTGGGAGAGAAGGATGGGAAAGCATTGCAAGGAAATTGTGCTTTATCCAACAAAATGTAAGGAGCCAATAAGGGATCCC